CGAGGACCCCGCGCGGCGAGGCGGCGGAGAGGTGGCCGCGCCAGTGCCTGAGCCGAGGGGCCGCGCGGCGCGCATGCGCGGCGGCGTCTCTCCCCGGGAGCGGAGGCGCGCATGTGCGCACGCGCGGGGAGGCTCGGTCTGCGCTGGATCTGCGCGGGCCGGAAGGCGCTCCTTGCGCCCTGCTCCCGAGTAAACCCTGCAAATTCGCTCGCTGGTGCTGGGACGCAGGATGCGCTTAAGAGTGCAACAGCTCGAGTATCAATCCCCCCACCACCAAGAATTGGAGGCGCAGCTGAAAATCGGGCGCAGTTTGCGCGCTGGGAAGAGCCGTTCCGGGCAGAGGCGGAGTGCCCCCCTTTCATCCAATTCAGCGATTCGGAGCATCCCCCGAATTGGGTCGGGGGGGGCGCCGCGGGCGGGAAGCAGCGCCCCCTGCTGGAGCGAGGCTGCGTGCCCCTGGCCGCCGAGATAGAGTGCGCCTGGCCGGGCGGCTCCGCTCCGTCCCCGCCCGGGCAGCAGACGAGGTGCCCCGTTGTCAAAGGCCGGGCGGGCTGGGGACCATGGGCCTCGTCGCCGGGCACATCTGGGGCGCCCGCCAGCCGAAAGCCTGGCTAATTTTGTGGTTTCTTCCCCAAATCGGTTGCCTTCAGTCGTCTGCCCCGACTTTCTTCAGACTTCCTCCTCCCCCTGCCCCCCATCGTGTCCGTTAAAAAGCCCCAAATGATGTAATTTTGTTTTTTTCCAAAACAAGGTTGCACCAACCCCGCTTCTGGCTCACTTTTGCAAAACCGTCAGCAGAAGTTACCGGCTTATATGTCCAAAGGCATCGGAACGGCGTTTATTCCCGGGGTTATTTCCCTTGCCTTATGCCCTGCCGATAGCGAGGAAAACAGGCTTCTTCCCCCCTCCTGTCTTCACATTAATCATGAAAACTGAAGGGAACTTTTAAGCATCAGCCGGTCCCCTCGCATAGACTGAGTTTCTCTAAAATACCCGCATGCGGCAAAGCAAAGCCGGGAACCCTGTTTACAAGCCTCCTCCCTCTTGCCAAAACTCAGGTGCCCATTTCGATGTCTTTCCCTGTTAGACCATTTAGGAAATTCGGCCAGTAGAGTTCCCACCCTCCGCAGGAGAAGAAACGGGGAAGAGCTTCCTTCTGCATTTCACTTCTGCTTTTAGCAACAGTCTTGCCCGGTGAAAAGTGTTCTTCTCCCACCCGAGGACGGCCTTTTCCCGTCACTTGCATTACGGTGCCAGAAATGGCCCTCCCTGCAAAGAGTTGGAAAGCAGGTGGAGGGAAGACGAAAACAGCCTTGGGTAAAATCAAATAATCTTTAATAAAAAATAAATTAGATTTG